CTGCGTTTATCTCTAGCAAGCCCGGTAAAAATATACATAGAATGCTCTTCTTCATATCCCATCTCTCTTCCGTAACGATCGAAGGGCAGATACGGGCCGTATCCTTACCGTGGTTCGCGTAGCATCTCACAAATAGAGATAAGGCGGTGGGTTCACAGTCCCACGATCTAGGCAGGAATTAGGAAGCGAGGCTACCGCTTGGAGGCGCCATTGCTGGCAAGTTGATGACGCCGGAGGGGAAGGTGGAGGGAGCAACGGAGGATGGAAACGCAGCAGGAGTTGAAATGGTAAACGTAACGTTCGGAAATGAAACAATGAGATGAAAAGCTACAAAAATCATGGATTAAAGAATGATTATTTTAATGTGAAAATTGCAGTTTTAGATAGGGAGTTTGGGATATGTATATACCGATAGACAAAATGAAAAAAAGAAAAATAACCCGCCGGAAATTAACTTTATATCTCACAAAATCAGGTCTCCTTTAGAAGGGAGAATCAAAATACATGGGCGTAATAGGCTGTGGCTCATGCGTCTTCCTAGAGAGCGGCACATGCCCGGCTTGTCAGGCATTTTCAGGCCTATTCATCCTTCCTTCATTTAAAATTGTCCTCTATCTTTATCATAGGTGCAGTGCGCCGAGCCAACTAACTCTGGCTTTATCGTACATTTCAATATACAATATCAATGTTTTTCAAACTATTTATTACTACTTTACATTTATCCTTACTATTTGTAAATGGGGGAGCTTGTTGCATGTATCATGTAGTTATTTAGCGAGACTGATGCGCGCGTTACAGGTGCGTCTCAATGGAGAGAGAATTCAATATAAACCAAATATGCGTTCCGTAATTAACAGCCGGCCCCACATACTTTTCTCACCAGCTACTGCAATGTCAAAATGCCATGTCAAAATGTCATTTATTGTTAAAGAAGGAACAGTTTCTGCAGCTTCCTCAATTTCAAAACCGGAATAGAGAGTATGTGAACTAATCAATTACACATGTTGACACTTATGCGACATAATTCTCCTTCAAGTTTGAACTCTTCAAACCCCAGCCCCCTATAATGAGAGGAAATTGAATGAATGAGTGAGGAAGACCACGTAATAGCATTTCAGGAAGAAAAGGCAGTGGATAGGAGAGGCCTGAGAAGACTGAATTCCGTGAGGGCGGACATCACAGGGTGGAGAGCGAAGTGTCGCTGGGCGGGATGTGGAGTGAGGTGAGGGAATGGGCGAGTGCGTGGGGGCG